CAGCTTGCGTCAATCCAAGGATGAGATTGGAGTGGCAAAAGATGAGGCTGAAGAGGCGAAGCTCGAGCTCGAGCAAAAGACCAAAGAGTTTGAAGCCGAGGTTGCTACTGCTCGAGTTGAAGCAGTCGAGGGCTTCAAGAAGTCTGATGAGTTCGCCGTTATGAAAGGGGACTACGCACTGGGCTCCTACAATTTTGCGTTCAAACAAGCCCGAGCTTTCCTGAGGGCTAGGCTTCCCGACATTATTCCCGAACAACTGCAGGGTGTTCCCGAGGTTACTGATTCCCTCGAGCTATCTGCTTCTGAAGAAACCATCATCGAGGAGGATGTGGACGTCGAGGGGGAGGATGCTGTCGATATGCCCGACGACAATCATTGATCGGATTTCCCCCTTTTTGCCTTGTCTTTGATTCTGAACAACTTAAGTGTATCTCCCGAACTTGTTACAATGAATGCTTCTGTTTTTGGAGCGCAATGCTCGATTATATTTGGTATTGCATTGTTATTTTGATCCTATAAATGCTTGTTGTTCATCGAATGGATTTTATGATCGATTAAAAACTCGAGGACCTTATTTCAAATGTTAACAAAGTAGCAATTCGAGGCTTTAGAGATCGAGCAACTTAATATCAAGTAATTTCGCAATGTTAGTATCTCGAGGAACATTAGTCTTTGAAGCTCGAGCAACTTAAAATCAAACAATTTCATTTAGTAGCTCGAGGAGCTCTAGGCTATTGAAGCTCGAGCAACTTAATGTCAGACAATTCAGTTAGTAGCTCGAGGATCTCTATGCTATTGAAGCTCGAGCAACTTAATATCAAACAATTTCATTTAGTAGCTCGAGGAGCTCTAGGCTATGAAGCTCGAGCAACTTAATGTCAGACAATTCAGTTAGTAGCTCGAGGATCTCTAGGCTATTGAAGCTCGAGCAACTTAATGTCAGACAATTCCATTTAGTAGCTCGAGGAGCTCTAGGCTATGAAGCTCGAGCAACTTAATGTCAGACAATTAAGTTAGTAGCTCGAGGAGCTCTAGG